ACCCTGGTGGAGTCCGCCAACCTGTTTGAGGTCAACATTTCAGAGTTTAAACAGCTCCGACAATGCAGGTGAAGCCCGACGCTGGCAGACAAAAGTCCTGTGCCATATTTGAAGCCAATAATTCAGTTAAATTTACTTTGTCCATTTCATCCCCAAGGCGTGAGGTGGGCCTGCTGAGGAAACTGTGGGACATGATCACCATGGTGCAGTCTAACATCGCTGCATGGACAACAACTCTGTGGAGAGATGTCCAGGTGGAGGACATGGACCTGGAGTGTAAACGCTTCTCTAAAGATATACGATGCCTGGATAAAGCGGTGAGGGGGGAGAACGGGCAAGACCAGGAAATATAACTTACAGTAGTATAGAGGTTGATGCACATGAATGGATGAACAGTTATTCTTCCATCCTCCATTTTGTATTTGGGAGAAGTTTACACTCAAGCAACCCCAGACAATATACATTCAACACCAATTCCCAACTGAATCACCATTATCTCAGCTACACATTGGTGGTAATTATAGATTTGTAGCCCTGTTTATTACCCTACAGATGCTAATTACTGTAAACTGCTGTGCAAGATAATAGCCTGTAGCTTGTCTGGCATAGTAACAGCAAACAATGGGGTTGGGGGCTTAGTGTAAAGTCTTTATTTTATGCCGCAACTGTGTGTGTGTGTGCACCCTTGAGCAAGGCCTCTGTGTACCTGAATTAATATCAACTTAGTTAATTTTTTAGGGGAATAAATGAAACAGAAATTAAATCTGAAATTGTAGCTTTAAGCCAAAGTCTGTCAAAAGCCCTTGAAGTCATTCCTGCCCTCTGCCTCCTGTAGGTTAGAGCCTGGGACGCCTACGGAGGTCTCGACAGCACAGTGAAAAACCTCCTTATCTCCCTCCGGGCCGTGGCGGAGCTCCAGAACCCAGCCATACGAGAACACCACTGGCATCAGCTGATGGCCGCCACTGGAGTCCGCTTCACCATGGACCAGGTTTGCAATTTATTCTTAAAGATAAGCAATGCGAGCACTCTGTT